GCGGCCCACTTCTCCCCTCTCTCCCCTAGACCTATACCAGCTTCCTTCATAAACAATAACTACTATAACAAAAACTACAGTAACTGAGTATCACTATCAGTTTGCAAACAGTGCATCAGCCCACAAAAGACAACACAGAAAATTACTACTATTGAGAAGAGTTTACTGTAAAATCTGCAAGACACCAGCAACATTTTCGCACAGAACAGATTTCCTTGGGGGAAAATGGAAAATTTGAATTTAACAAGAAATAGAAAGAGCAGACCACACAGCAATGCTAGTGAATCGCACCACCACACGGGACACTATGTGTTGTCAGCACAGGTCTCATATAACACAACACAGGAAAGCAATACCCTGGTGGAGCTGATGTCCTCTGAGTCACACAGTATAGGGCTGACGTAAGTGAAAACAAACTAGCAATGTTATATTTTGTCAACAAAAAAAAAAAAAGGAAAAAGAGATGTGATGTCAAGGATAAACCTCTGTAAAAGGCTCACAAATTATCAACCCCATTCCTATTTCAGTTTGATGACCAAATATATCTAGCTGTCTGTATGTCTGTCCGTCCGTCTGTCTGTCTCTTGTAGGTCGACAGACTTTATATATATCTGTTTTCTCATCTGTACTTCTGCCTCCTATCTCAGTACGTGTGTATCTTTGAGCCTGCTGTTAGCACACCCCGTGTAAACATTGAATGAGCATAAAGTGAGACTATTATATCATTCTATTGTTTACTTCTATTGCAACTCTTGATAATAAAGCAACCGCTGTCCATGACTACCACCAAAAAAAAGCTAAAAAAGAAAACACACTGCCATTAGAGATTGCAGAATGAAAGCAATTACTTGTGTCTACCCTACACAGAGTGGGAAAACACTGAGCATGTCGGCACTTTACAGCAAATACAGAAGGAAAGAAACATGCAGGCTCTCGTTTTATCCACACAGCATTAACAACCTTATTTCACAGAGAGAAGACAGGCGATAACAACAGTCAAACCATTCAACAAAGAATACATCACATTTTGATATTGTGAGCAATAAGCCATTTAGGACATTTCGTATTAACAACCTGTTGTCAGACATGAACAGGTGTATACATTACTATAACATACATGAACTTACAAATGCCCTTTCCCAAACTAACAATTCTACATATCACTAGACAGCAAAAAAAGTTCAAATGTAATATTTCTTCATGCTTCATATATGGTAACAAAGATTTCAAATATAGAATCAAAGATAACTTGGCGCAGAAAAAAAAAGTGAGAAAATGGTAAGATTTATGAATACTTTTTCTGACTGGACTGAGCTCAGAAAGCAGCTTTACGGTGCAATTTGGCAGGAGAAGCTAAAGTACTTTCTTCGACACATGAACAAATGAATTCGGCAATGAAATATCAAACAACACATTCTGGCATAAATCACGATCACTGACCATTTTAAGAAAAACAAATTTTTCCTTTCAACCATCAAAGGCTACTGAAAAATCACATTCATTCTCACACAGGACCACATAATGCTCGGATCAATCATGTATAGCCTACTACTTGACAACAGATGGACATGGTCAAGACAACTCACACATGAAAAGATACAGGAGGCAGGCTTTTACCTCTAAAAAATTTAATCCTTAGTAGTAAGAAGTAAAATGATGGTGACTGGGGTCAGAGAAAAGTGATTGCTCGATTGCAAAGACATAGAAGAATTTTATTATTAATCAACTCATTGCCATAAAAGTTCATTCTAATTTAAGCATTCAAAGTTTCAAAAAACTATTTGTAACTGGTTCTACACATATTTTGGTGCAGAATCTAGCACTTATGGCATCTGGTCTACTCAGAAAGTAACAAATAGTAATTCAAAATATGTAACTCTCATACTCAAATGAGAGGCCTCTGATCAAGGCTAATGAATTATTAGATTGTGGTTTATAGCTGGCAACACAATCAGTCCATCAAACTTAACTGATAGATTTCATATGGTCCCTGATCAAGAGCTGTGACCTCGCGGTGGTGATGATGAAACAGTAACAATCCCCCCTCCCTACAATTTTTTGAGTCCTCTTCACTGTACAAGCTAACAGCTAGGGTGAAATAGAAAAACACTACAAAAAAATCTATGATGAAAAATAAATGAGACACAGAGCCAGTATAATGTCAAGTGGATGACCGCATTGTAAAACAATCAGCATTATGTTGACACCAGATAAAATTACTGTGTCATTGGCAAAAACATTTGAATATTTAACCGAAATAATATTAACTATTCTAGAGGCAGACAACAAAACCCAAACAGTTCCTATGATTGCACATACGCAGTAGATGACAGCAACTATTGATGATCCTAAAACATAATATTATACTAACTTAATGTGCACACAAACAAAATTACAGCTTTTAGTAGACTGCTGGTAAAATATCCTCCTTAAAAGGAGCATACATAAATCAAATGAAAAGAGACTGGAAATGATCATAAGTATGGATGGAATCAGCAACAGCAACAACACCATTGCAAGACCAGAGGTCGTTGACACGGGTTTGAGCAAGAGGCCGGTAATGCTTGTGCAAGCCAGTATTTCATTTCAACCAAACTTAATCCTCTCCATGAAAACTGTCACTTTCACACCAAAGAAATTTGAGGTTCCAGCTGAAACACATGTCCAATAATAACATTAACGCAAGCATTAACATTCAGTAAAAATACAATGAAGATGGGAAAAAAAGAAAAAAAACATTGGTCGTGTCAGAACAATGAGTGTGTGATTGATCAAATGTAGACAAGTATGCATTAACATGTTTAAGATATAACAATATTGCAATCCGGTTATAGAACAGCGAAAATACCTCGGCTTCATTAAAATACTTTCAGCACTTGCAGTCAAGTCCTTTTTTCAAAGAAGAGATTGTAGCATAGTCCGAGCAATAATATCTAATTTGTATGTTGGCTTTTTAATGTCAGGAATCTGATTAAGTTAAGTCAGAATTAACCAAAAAAACCCAAAAAATATCAAGCACATGACAAACATCAGTTTCACTCACAGTTCTTACACAAAATCACCGATCAAAGTCTGAATTTCAACCACAACATCATTCGACATCAGAACTCACTAAGAACTAGTACTCTTCAAAGGGACAAAAAGGAAATATCGCACATGAAATTCAGGTGTGCCGACCTGAGAATGACACAGTTGAAAGACATAGGGGAAAAACATTCCTACACAAAGCAATTCAGTAAGAACTTGTGGTGCCTTCAATGGGTATCCAGAAAAACCACACTAGCGTAATTTCTTTGTCAGTGCTACTCTACATGATGTATTTTACTCTTCATATTGAATTTTCATGAAAGTAATAAATTCATGGTGCATACGTGCATGTGTTTTTACCATTCTACAGCAAAGAAAAATTTCCCACAAGGACAACAAAGTATCATCTTATCATCTATTTCATATAGCATGAAAATCAACATGTGTATATGTGTCACAGCGTGGTGGAATCAGGCGCTCGTCAATTTTTGGGCATGTGGAGTTATTAGTATCATCTGAAAGCTTATTCATTTGTCTTGCTTTCGATTTAAAAATATCCATCTAGCTTGAAAAGAAGTCGAGATATTTGCGATTTAAAAAGGTGGGGTATCCTTATTTCAGTTGTTAAATTAATGAGAAAATGGCCGCCTAAGTTTGGTAAATTCAAAAGCTTAAGAGTCCTTGAAAACAGAAAATTACATATTTTGTGCCTTTAAACAAGGTTTTTCAAGAAAATTCACTTGGAAATGTGTTTTCATATGAACATAAAAGGAGTTTGGCCAAAAAACGTGATTTTGATAAAAAATTTCCAAAGTGGTAGAATAATGCCTTTTTCTTCGATTTCATTATTTTGACGAGCGCCTGATTTCACCATGATGCGTCACATATTTATTACACAGTTATTAGAGGAGTAAGAGACACCAAGTGTCCGAAGTACAATGATGTTATGTTTCAAGGTTAACACTTCATTAACAAACTATGGGATGAACAAGTGCATAGCTGTAGAAACTGAGGAAAAGGATAAAGTCATTGAGCCAAAAGACCAAAAGATTAGAATTAAAGAGAATGAATGGCATCTGTTTAGTCCTAACAAAATAGGGAAGCACAGTGCAGTGGGGAAGGGGACTCAACTCTGTTAACAACTGCTCTGTACTAGTATTCTTGGGGCAGAAGAGCAAGAAATCAAAACTGTAATAGAAGAATCTCATATCTAGTTTCCCTTGCTGCACCCGTGCCCTTACCCCTTAAGAATTATTTGTGTTCACATTTACCCTCATTTTAAGCCAAAAGTATCCATTCATACTTCTCTGTAAAAATTGAAAATGAGACTTTCAGCCTAAAGTTCTCATCACAAACACGGCCAGACTCTCTGGCTCCAAGTATAATTCATGTCTTAAAAAGTGAAGTTCAGTGCCCTTCTAGACACAATTTATGTCAGTTCCAAGACAAAAATGTTTCAATGTACGGCTACCAGACTGAAAGGGAAAGTGTCTCTATGAGGGAAAAATTCCAAAGCAATCTAATTCGAAATCTGAACTTCAACCTTAACTTTCAAAGGCAGAAAAATTCCAATGCAATTTAATTCAAAATCTTTACTTCTGTGCGCAAGGCAAGTGTGTCAACCAATTTTGCTATTGAGACGAAATCTCTCGGGCTTCTTACCAGTGACAGAAAAAAGTTATGGACCAACATAAATATTTGCTACATACTAAGGAGAGAGCAATGAGAGGATTACATTGTACTTCCATTGTCCTAAACAGACCCACGGACAGGGCTACCTTCCACTTGGCAGTCAAGCCAACTTGTCAAGCCCGAGATTCTAAACCAAAGTTTTGCAAGGTCTGATCATGAACCACATAGTTGTACAATAGGTGTAGATGGTGCATTTACTCAAGAGGAAAAAACATGTGCATTTCACAAAATAATTCAAGTAAACTGACATAATTTCAAATATTCTCATCTCTGATCAAATATTCAAATATACCTTTTCAGATAGCAGTCATTCTACCAACGGGACAATAAACATGTGGATGGAAATGAGCACTCACACAGCTGAGTAATCTGTCTTACAATAAATCCATGGTGTTTGACTACTTTAACCAAAGCCAAAGATTGAGTATTGGCTATTGCCTTTATGTATGAACGTGAGAAGTTCAGGTTCATATTACTTAAGAGGTATAACTCTGAATATCAAAGAAATTTACTCTGATCACAGTTTTTCCCCAACGGTATTCATATATATAATAAACCACAACTTTAATAATCTGTTAAAAAATCTTTGGCATCAATATTAAAAAATGCAATCTTGAAATTAATGAACCTCCCCCTCCCCCTAAAAATCACAACTAAAAGCTTCTTGGACTGTAAGGAAAGCTTTCTGCAGAACAAACTGATTGACAATTAAAACATGGAAACAAAACCATGCTGCAGGCGTTCATGCACTGGTTTCTGACAAATCTGGTTTTAAATCATAACATAAAACAAAAATTACCGTGTCTTTGTGTTCAGGTGGACTACAACAACACAGCTGTACTCAATACCTTTTACCAAAATAAGGACGGACGTAATTACTGAAAGTGTCTACAATGCATGTGGTAAGCATGAAATTCACCTCGTCGGGAAAGGAAATCGCTGGTCCACCTTGGTTACTGTATGTCTTGCAACAACTCAAAATGAGACTACCAATGGAACTGGACCCAAAAATAACAATCATGCCTCAACAAAACAGCTCTTTCGATGAGAGGTTAAAAACTAAACATTTTCCTTAATCACATAGCTGTATGATATTCCTTGACCAATGTTGGGTCACCATTGAAAAAAGAAAAAGTTTTGAGAAAATGCTAAACGCAGCTGACCTACTTCAAAAGTATGACGTAAACAGTCTTTACTAATAATACACAATTATCAAATCTGAGTAGTTAAAGATTTTTAAAAACAAGAGTTCATTTTTGTGCATAGAAACAGTTGTATTTCTGATATATATGTGATAGATTCCAACAAAACATCGTAGGATAATTCCTGAATCAAATGTCCTTTTAGCAATCATGTATAAGTCTCATTTTGAACTGTTGCCTCTATAAAAGCAACATTTAAAAGCCTAGTACTTCTCTGCCATCATGAGAACAACCAGAGCAGACCAGCCAGTGAACGGGTGGGAGCCCTTTCCCTCTCCAGTCTTGTCGTTGTAGTTTTCCCAGATGTAGCCTGTGCGGTAAAACTCTCGCAGCATGTTGCTCACAATGTTGCTGCGCAGGCTATCGTACACAGACTTGGCCTCCGACTGGTACGGTCCAGAGACAGAGCTGTAATGGTGTAGCGCTGACAGGGCCAGATAATTCATGTTGATCCACACGGCCCCACGCCAGTATGGAGGGTCATGCTCCGTATTGAAACGGCCGTAGAACTTGGAGCTGCGGCTGAGCGACCGCAGACCAAAGTCAGTCCACAGACGCTGCGGATTCTTGATGTCAGACAAAATCTGGTTCAGCTTGGGGGAGTCTGCGTCAACAATTTTCAACAAAAATGGGAACAGACTGACGTAGCCAAGCGCATTGACGTAGCCTGATGTAGGCTCTACCTGCACCACACGAACCTTGTCAGTGTCCATCTGTGGTGGACGTTGGCCTGGATGAAGGTTGACTGGTGGCTTAGGCTTCTCCAACTTGGCTGCCAAATGGAATAGATAAGTCATGAATTTAAATTGATAGATTTAAAAACAATATTGGACAAACTTTTGTCATAATATTACTGGTGTGCTTTCTAAGGAAATAATATTATTTATCTCTTCCACTGAAATTTAAAAAATCCCCTACATTTGCATTTCACTCTCACCCACAACTTACGAGGGTCTAGTTTTTAGTTCAATAGAAAGATGATTTTTTTCCAAAGTTTCATATAATATTTTATCATACAGATAAACGTTATTCTTTGTCCTTTGTTTAACAATACATTTTCTTTACTCTCCAAATGTGAAAAAGACAAAACAAGTAAACTTGAAAAGGAAAAAAATAATTGGTGGATTAAACATAATTCTATGAGCAAGTAACCCAGTCCGACTTTGTAGATTCCACAAAAACCAAGAGCATTTTTTTAATACCACCAGAGCGGCAAACTGTGAGCTTGTATTGTCCTACCTTTGAAAATAAACCACATAGTTTTAAAGGACAAAATATCTGTTCAGCTAAGATTAGGACAGGTCACCTTATTATTACAGTTCGAGAGAGTATGAAAGGGAAAAAACTGATATGGTCTTTTTACTGAGAGTACCATTAAGTTTCTATTTCAAATACACAACTTTCAAGTGATCACTGAAAGAACCGTCAAACTTTCTTGAAAAGCAGGATGCATTATGAAAATTAATCACCATCCAAGATACTAAACTTAATGTGAGAAGAGTGGGTCCGGAGTATGTATGCCACCCTCAAGGACATCCTGGGGGGTACTAGAATAGCTGACAAAAGCTAAAAGTATAACAACTTAATGTTAAAAAATTATCATTAAAATAGGAAAATTTTCTCTCTGTATCTTCCTGGGGTTAAAATATCATGGCATTTACTTACTCACCTTCTCATAGCCAATGTTTGTCCGATACAAATACGATCATTAATATATTGCATCTGAGAAAAGGCCACAGGACAAAAAAATAACTATCTCCGATAGCTGTTGTTTGAAAGGAGAACACAAACCTTTATCAGTGTGCAGACCATAGTCGCTGTACTGCAAGCCTTTGCTTGACCAGTGTAACTCATCCAGAAGCTTGTTGTCGGACAGCAGCCGATGAGTGGCCTCGTACTCCCGTGACTCTTTGCCCAGGGTGCGTGCAATGTCCGCCATAACACCCGATGCTAGAGCCATCCAGCACCGTAGGTCGATATGCCTCTCGTCATCTGTCGGGTGCGACGCTCGTGGGTAGTCATCGAGCCCAGAGGTCAGCGTCAGTGGATTCAGCTGTTTGACTAGTGTTGGGTCACGCCCGTGCCAGCGGTAGGTGAATGGCAACTTGCCTGCCTGGCTGTCATTGTAGTAATTAAACCACGTTTTGAGACGTGGGTACAGAGCACTGAGGTATGCTTTGTCAGCTGGGGTGGAACTTTGAATCATGGACTTGATCAAAGATTTTAAGGGAAGGAAAAATGTGGGAGGGTTAGCATTTGTATTTCTCTGTACCACAAACTCTGCTGGCACTTTTGCTCTGGCTTCTACACCCAAAATCTGCTCCCTGGGTATCCAGCCTTCCACATTCATGAGGTCCATCCAATGGCCAATAATGTCTTTGGAGATCTCTGCATCCCACAAGCTGATCAGCAGGTTGTGGAATCCCTCGTCCCAGAGAAAACCTCTAGGAAAAAAGGGTCTGGAAGGTACAGCGCTGTACAGAGGGGCCTGCCAGTAGTTCACAGGCTCCTTGTTATACTTAGATTGGACCAGGGAGGAGCCATAGAAATAACCTATTCCACCTACCATGTTACCCAAAGCTGCTTTGGCAAAGGCGATCTCACGCTCCTTGTAACCTTTTTTCTTTAATTCAAAGGTAGACTCAAACTTCTCATTAAAATTCTCAGTTCTTGCAGCAAGTTCAGAAGTGAACACATCTCCCATCAGCGGAGCACTTCTGTCGGAAACGCTGTCTGACTGAAACACAACTTCCATGGTGAACGGCAGCTGTGCCGTCACTTGCTTCACCACAAAGTTCGGCCCAGGCACATCTCGCGGCACCTTGCGGCCTGCCAAGTTGAAGAAAGGCATGGTCCGAGCCCTGTCCCAAGCCTCCACCTTCAATCCACCTGTAAGTACATCCGTTAGTTGATCTAGCTGCCGAGCGTGTGTCACTAGATAGCTGTCTCGTTGAGACTCTGCAGGGCTGGCATCACTGCTAGGGAATAAAAGCTCAAAATCTCCGAGGTCTTCATGGGAGCCTTGTATTGAATTTAATTTTCCCTTGGTTAACATTGGTTCCAGTTTGCCATTGTTTTCCTCCAGAGCAGCGTAAAAGAAACTGGAAACAACAACAGGGACCTTGGGATTCTGGAGAGAAAAAGAAATAGCAGATAATCAAAACAACATCCTTTTCATTTTCATCACGGGACCCAATATCATCATAATCGCCACTTAGTTTTTCACCAAGGAGTGCAAGGAGAAGAAAAAATTAAAACTTCTGGTCAAAAACAAGATATAATAAATCAGCAGACAAGAAGAATTCAGTTTCATATACCCATTCGGAAGTCTCACTCACAATCTTCACAAAATGTTAAGGGCCACTTGCAAAAGAGCAAGCAAAATAAAAACCAGTAAATCAAATTATTCCTTCTTTGACATGCGTTTAATTCATCAATCCATTTATGATAAGTGCAAAAAAGAAATTTCATCATAATCGAAACCAAAATGCGTAATTTCCAGCGCTCAAAAGGGACCTACCCTCAAATTCGAAAAATCACAAAAGAAAGGGTCTCAAAATGTCTCAGCAATATCAAAGAAAACAACCAGTTTCAGTTCGTGAATGTCAATGGAATTGTCAGAAGCGCGTGTGCCCACCATTCGCGGCAAGGCAGTCAATGCAACGCTGGCGCATAGAGTCGATCAGGCATGCCTGAAAGGTCTGGGGAATGTTGTTCCATTCTTGTTAAAGCCATCCAAGCAGCTGCTGTCAGTTGGCGGGCAAAGGGTGGTTCTCCCGAACTCTCAGATCAAGCTCAGCCCACAAATGTTCAACAGGATCGAGGTCTGGACTGTTGGCTGGCCAAACCATACGGGTAATCCCCGTCTGCTGCACGAAGGCGTTGACAGCCCTGGACCTGTGTGGCGTGGCGTTGTCGTCATGAAGGACAACAGCAGGCCCAATCTGCTGCAGCGTCAGGACAACCAGAGGTCGAAGGATCTCCTGCAGATACCGCTGCCCTGTCAGGATACCGTGGACACGGTAAAGAGGGGTTCTGTGATGCCTGCTGATACCCCCCCAAACCATAATGGAGCTGCCTCCAAACGGGACCACTTCTTGAACTGCATTGGCAGCAAGCTGCTCCTATGGACGCCTCCAGATGCGGGTTCGGCCATCACTGGGTGTCAGACAGAACCGAGATTCATCAGTGAACAAGACCTCTGTCCATTGGGCACGTGTCCACCTCTGGTGTGCAGGGCACCAGATTTGACGGTTGGCTCGCTGGTTCTAGGTCAGCTTAGGTTTTCTGACAGGACGACGCGCACAAAGGCTGACGTCAGGAAGGCGATTACATAATGTCTGCGAACTGACAGTGGTGTAGGTGGCAGCTTGCAGACGTCGCCTGAGGACGCTGGCAGAGCTAGTCTGCTGCTGTATGGCTTGGCATTGGATCTAGCGGTCCTCTCTTGTTGTCGTTTTCTTGGGACGACCCGTGCTGCGCCGCTCCTGGACTCTTCCTGTCACCACAAACCGCTGCCTCAGCCGTATGATGGTGGAGTGTGATACCTGAAGTCTGCGAGACACTTCGCGTACGCCAACTTCATCCTGTAGCCAGGCAATTGCCCAGGTCCTGTCGAAATCATTCAACTTTTGTCACACGGTGGCATGTGGCTTGTCGTGGTGATACTGTAAAACAGAGCTGAAACGGAGGCTTATGCAAGCAGACAAGAGAGCACAGTTCGTAGCCAGAGGTGCACTCTTCCACGTGCATCTTGTTTATAAGCCATGCAGAAAGCCCCGGGTATCGCTCACTGACATTTGAAACTCGGTCCAGTTTTGCTGAAATTGCAGATTTTCACACGCACCAAGCATGCCGCATGACGTGCAAGTGCCACCCACACAGTGGTTACCGTATTCACTACTGACCCGTAAGTCTTGCTACAGAATTTTACACAGTAAATCTGATCACTTAAAAAAAAAAAAGATTTTTGGAAAATACTACCTATTATCCTGACTGGTCCATAACTTTTTGTGAAGACTGTAGTATCTTACAGTATTTCAGACAGCATCTTCAATAGGATGGGGCTTGATACATGAATATATTGATGACTTTTACTAAACAATACCTACTAGTCTGTTGCAGTTACAGCCAATTCCACAATAACTGACACAGTGGGCATTAGGCCATTACCAGCTGTGATAGTGTATTCAGACAAGACAAGATCAGATAAGATAAGATAATATAATATAAGATAAGATGGTACTTCAAAGTCCCAGTAGGAAATTATCCTGTGGCTGTATTATTTAAACTAGAAAGCAGCTGTCCTTGAAATTTTACTTCAAAAGTTAACAAAGCCACAAACTGCTTTAATTGGACCTCAAGTTCTTCCTCAAACCATTTTGCTTCTTATGCAGAGGCTAAACCATCTTTAGCTACCTCACCTTTGGCACAAACTTAATCCTGGCAGACCAGTCTCCCCCATGTTGCCCACCTGGCCTCTTCACGAAGTCGGTCTCTACTGTGTAAGATTTCTCCTGAATCTCCTGGCTTCCAAAACTACGACCATCGTGCATTTTCCAAACATATCCTTCAAGTTCATCACCCTGGTTACACCAGTGTCGAAGAGGGGGAGGCATTCGATTGGTCAGCTGAGTCATCCACATCAATCCAAACACAGGAGACGTCTTACTGCGAGTTTTCATGCCAAAGTAAGTATGAGGTCTGTAAGAGAAACAAAAGCCAAGCCTCATTATGAGTTTGTTTGTTATGAGTTCAAAAGCATATCATACAGCACAAGGATCAGTATAGAATAGTTCTTGGGAAAGCAGAGTCATGAACAGAAATAAAATATTAGTAAAATACAGCAAAATTACAATTTACAAAGAATAAGCAGGATAAAATATTTATGTATTTCCTAATAAACAGATAGACACAATTATAATACTAAAAAGAGCCCAAACCTGTTACAAATAGACTGCAATTTAATTTAGTTGACCCTATTTCACTATTGTCTTATGCCTCTTCAAAAACTCTTTATGTGTGTTGGAACAGCTTTTCTGGAAAGATTCTACAGACATTCATGCTCATAGCTCACATGTATACTCTTGCCAGATTTTTATTTTTAACATTCTTCATGGTCAACAAATAAAGTAAAACCAAGATTAATGTTTGACATTTTCACATTGCAATGAAAATGAAAGCTATAAACAAACTTATAATATCATATTGAAAACTATAGTTCATTTGCTTTCATTCAGTTGCTAATATTACCTGTATGTTCCCCAAAACCTGTCCGGATTCACACTTGGTAATGAATTGTTTTCATTAATGATGAAGGGGGAATCAAGAGGGGAGATGACCAGATCGCGGAGATGCTGCTGGTAGCGGAAGTAGCATATCAGGGAAGTGGTGATGACAAGGACAGATATGCCAATAGCTTTAGCATAGGGATCCATCCGTCCATGTGCATAAGGCCAGTTCGCATCTTTGTCATCATTCTCCTTCTTCAAAGGATTTAAAGCCCCGCGCTGTCTGCGCCGTAGTTCTGGTTTAGACATGTTTTGTCATACACTGTCAAGGAAGAAATGCAATACAAATAAAAAGATAAGATTTCAGAATTATACCTGAAGAAAACTAGACAAAAGTTAGGTACAACAACCATAGTATCTTCACTTTCCAAAACATATTGACAAGCCATCATAAAAAATAAAGCGTACATTAAAATATTAACAATAATAGACTCATTACAGAGCTGTTGGCTTGTATAAAGAGTAATTGTTACTTCTTTCTGCCGTAGCAATCGCGGGAATCGGTATCAGTATCAATTCTTCACCTACAACTTTTCGGTCTAGATGTACGCATCAAAGCGTAATTAATTCCACGGTAAAAAATTGAACTGATTTCTATCTGATTAAGGGTATCCTGACTAGCCTGATTTCCTAATCTGACCAACCAGATTTGAGAAATTGAAAAATGATGCAAATTCCACTTACACTTAATTATGACACCGAATGAACGCAGATTTGATATTCTGTTATTTTTTTTCAACAACTCTAATCTAGCTTGCAAATCTTCAATTGGACTAGAGACCTAGAAAGATTGACAAAGAGACCTTTAAGCCAAAGCCTGTGGATAATTACATTGTGATCGATTCGAAAACGGACACCTGTGTTACTTTGGCAAAGGGGAAGAGGTTTCTGAAACTATAAGATGAGGAAAAACTACGACAGGAATAGAGCCTAGTGAGGTTGTCAGGAACGCAACCATGAAAGCTCTAGCAAAAAGCTATATATATATACAGTAATCCCTGCTTAAGATCCTGGTGCTCGGGAGCAAAGAAAATGTGGGATCTTAGGTGAACGGGATCTTAGCCCACGCACCAAGGGAGGAATATACGGTGACCCATATTATGGTCCACAGCTGGTAAAATGGTCTCCCTTCACTCTAAAATGAACTGACATGACCCCTGGGTGAGGTATGACATATGGCGAACAAAGAGTGGTCAACCTTGATGACCAATCACAGTAGTATGAGGCATGCCATTTTCCCTTGTTATCCTATCATGAGTCTCAAACTCAAGATCTACGTTTATCCAGTTGCACTTCTTTACCTGTCCAAAATTTACAGCTTTCCTTGTTTGAACGAGTAGGCTACCCCCGCCTTTGTCGTTACGCCCCATATGTTGTGACCAAACCAATTAAAATTCAGTCTGTCCCACATATTCGGGAGTAGAGACAACTGCTTCAATGTTCAGGGAAGAGTTCACAGTTTGATGTGATCCTGCCTGGAGCGAAGTGATGTAAATTTAGGCGGAGAGCTCAGATACGAGTGCGACGTTTGGGGAAAACAAATGCGTTGGTCAGCTCACACCTCGGTATGAGCCCATCTGGGGCAAACATTGTACCGTTTTATCGAGTTTTGCAACGCTTATAAATATATGTGATCACATTCACAAGAGTGGCTGATCTTTAACGCAATGAGTAGTTCAATGATCTCAACTTTTCACTCTGGGTTGATCGGCTCTGCCCACCAGGGTTTTTGTTCTGTAAATTATGATCTGAAATGCGGGACCTTAGCTGAATGTACACCTTCAAAGTAAATCAGAGGGTGACTTTTGTATAGTAAAAATTCTGTTTTTGTCAAACAGCGGTATCGAACCGGGATCGTAAGCAGTGGGAACTTTGGCGGAGAATACTGTATTATTAACTTTATAGGAGTTCAAGTATTCTGTCCAGTTTAATTGACTATTGCGAATCACTTTGCATCTGATCTTCTCTGGTGGGTTGATTCCAGGGCTCCCCTTTTCAGGAAAGGGGTGGTCGCTTGTTACTGTTACAACGGAAGTCCTTCCATTATTAGTGACAGAGTTCAATATGGAACATGCATAAATTACAAACTCGTGATGGTTACAAAGGACAAATTCGGGGTATTTTGTAGTTTCGTTTGTTGGAATCAAAATTCAAGCAAAGAATGTGTTTTTTTCGGCAGTTCGCACCCCCCAATTAATATTTTCCGGTTTGGGCCTCAAGAGTCAAGAGTAGGGGATGTCATGCTCCCCTGATCTAATAAAAATATAGAGGGGGAGGGGGGTTCAGGGAGGCATGCCCCCCTGAATATTTTACCATAATTGGAGGTAAAGCTACTAGTAGTCCATTTTCTACTAAATATTGATGCGCTGAACACGAATATCAGCTTCATTTCCGTCGCAAATGAATAGTTTTTGAAATATCTGATTGTTCTAGAGACGTGCTTTGGACCAATCGGGGGGTTTCAGGGAAGCCTGCCCCACTGGGGTAAAAAAAAATGTGGGGGTTAGGCACAGTCACGGGGGGGGGATGTTTTAACCCATAATTTGATATATTTTACAAGTTAGATTTGAAAATTTCTAGAAAAATTATTGATTTGCGACAGTTTAAATGGCTTTATGTGTGATCGGCAGCAAACAGTACTGTACTGCAGTTTGACCCCCGAAGCAGTGCACTGTGTGCGGGAGTGAAAGTAAAAATTTAGCCCATGGCCCATGGCCCATAATTTAATGTTTTAGTTTTGCAGTTAGGTTGCATCCCTGTTCTTTGTGTTGTCTATTTGATCATCAAAACTTCTGGATTTCTTCTCTGGATGTAAACAAATGGACAGTGGACTTTAACTAACGGAACTTCAAGATCACCGGCTAACTTCCACCATCAGACCGTCACCACTTCTCGGTTCTAATATTAAGCTTAGGCTTATCTAGAATCTAAGTCTAATAAGATTCTAAATCTAGATCTATAGTATATATCTAGTATGCAACAATTCAATATATAAACATTCAGACTGAAAGTGCAATATTAGAAATATATAGATCTACACACATTACAAAGAAAACTATAACAGATGTTGAATACCTAGATCTAGATCTAATGCTAACAGCAGAACACATTGTACACATTATAACACTCACACAACTTAAAACTTCTGCTGCTGTTTTTGACGTGTTTACACACCGGCGGAAGCAGTCCTGTTTTCGCTATGTGCCGATACCAGTTTGCCTCAGGCTTTGTAAGTCAAGTACCAGTTCGCAGAAAGTCGCAAAATGGGTTTTCCCGTTTCGCCCACGTTTTTCTTTTACTTGGGCCCTATAATAAGTTTCTGCCCCC